AAGGAATGAGGAAGGATAATTGACAATGTACTCTTAAATCACCTTTATCTTCTTTAAAGCTAATTTTTCAAGAATACTCAAAATTGACTATAAAAAAATAAAAAATTATTTAAACAGCATTTAAATAGTAATTAAACAGTAATCTTTTGGCGACTGTTTTTACTAAATCTTTTAAGCATAGTAAAGTAAAGTTTTAGCGTTGTCACTTTTCAAACATAAAGCAGTTTCTGTTTATTGTAATCAAATTGATTGTATGATAAGCTTTTTTTCTCCACTTTCAACGTTTTAAAAAGCCAAAAAAAGTGAAGTAAATTATTCAACAATAACTTTTTTTTTCCTTTTTTATATTCTGCAACATTTTTCTTCACATATTTATTAAACAACTTCTCCTAAACAGTTCTTTCTATCAATTTGTATAGGTTTTGCTTTGCGCTGCTATTACTGGGAGATAATAAACTGTAACAGATAGCATAATATTTGTTGATAGTATTGCTGAAAATATTACTGTTTTTTTTTGCCTATAATACATTTACTGTTGTTTCGGATTTTTCCTTTGTTCAAAGATAGAAATTAACAGTTTTAGTAGCAAAAAATATAAACAAAAAATTTTCTTCATGATTCTTTTTTTTTCCTTTGTTTTCAAAAAATTGCTGACTTTTGATATTAAAAAAAAAATTCTATAAGGTTTCAGGTACAACAAAAATTTGTTACATATTTTAATTGCTTTAATTAAGCAAAAAATTGGAAATTTATCTTAGAACATCAAAAAATTATTGTTCTATTTATGTTTGTTGTTTTCAGTTTGTCAAAGACCGACAGGCAACCGACGTCATTGTTTATTCGTTGACAATGACGCTGATGTTCTTTTTTTCGTTGTTGGTCATCGTCTATGCAATAACTTTTTGGCTATATATTCCACTACCAAATGATATCAGCGATCATTTTAAGCTTCAACTTGTAGAATTTCTTCTACGGCTAAGCAATGAATATTTGGTAACACAAAACACATCTTAAATTTACACTACTTATAAACATTACCTAAATGTTACTACAGTTTTTGCTTGTTTTTCTTTTCTTGCTCTATTTGCTTTAAATCTACACACCAAACTATATATTTGATAAAATTAATCTTAAATGCTAAATTAATTGCTAAAAAAATATCAAAAAAATTAGAGAAAAAAATTTTCACATCAAAATTTTCTTTTTTATTTCTCTAAAACTTCTAATAATCTTTATCAGAGCAGTACTATAAAAAAAAAAAAAAAAAA